CTACAGCATGCACTAGCCACACACGAGATGATTCGTCGAGCAGTGAGGATGCTTATGTGTTTGTTTTGAACAGCAATACATGCCAGCAACAGCCTCAGACACAAATTAAAATAAACGGCACCAAAGTTACAGCTCTGATTGATTCCGGAGCAGCTGTAAATATTATCAGCAAAGCAGTGTTCAACATGCTCACACCCAAGCCAAAGCTCAGAGCAGCGACAATTAAGATCTTTGCGTATGGCTCTGCCTATTATTGGTGTATTCCAGTGCAATGTACAAGCATCACATAACACTACAGAGACCAAGTTCTATGTTCTTCAGAACGATGGACACACCCTTCTAAGCTATGGAACAGCACAAGAGCTTGGACTGATAAATATCACCAGTGCTGTTAATTATACAAACACCATCCGCACAGTAGCTGATGAACTTGTTGAAAGCTATCCAGAACTGTTCAAAGGAATAGGCAAACTGAAAAACTTCCAAGTGAAGCTGCATATCAGTCGGCAACAAAAGCGAAACAAACTAACGACACCTTACAACACAAAGTCACTCACAGTCACCAAAGTAAAAGGCACAATGGTGACTGCAGAAGGGCATGGACACTCCATTACAAGGAACTGTTCATTCTTTAAGAGACTCAACCAGGAGACACCAGATCTTATGTTTGAGCTAGGATTTGAAAATGAGACAGAAGAAACTGACTCATGCACGGTCCCTCTGAGATATCCTGTTAGACATAACCATAGGCCTCCTGCCTACCTCTCTGATTATGTTTAGGTAGACTGTGTGGTGTAACTACATAGTTGCATGGATCGTTCAAAGCAGGTGTTTCAGACTGTTTAGTTCTGTGAAATCTCCATGTCTCCTCGTTTCCTCGTGCCCGTGCTCCAGCGGATTGTGACATGTCTATGGTGAAATTATTGCCAACTCCGTTCCCCAAGGGATTGTGAGCAATATTAGCCTAGACACTTTATGAAATCATCACAGTGTAATTTCAGATGCACTAAAACCTTCAATGTCACACTATTGAATATCAAATAGTACCATGCTGACTGTGTAAAAAATAGAAAAAGAAACTCAAATGTGGTTTGCTAGTTTAAGTTAGATAAACTGGTCTAGATAAGATGGTGAAAAGTGCCCCTCAACATCTATTAAGTCAGCTAAGAGCAACAAGGCTTGTTTATGGAGATTATGTTTTCTAAAGAGATGCAGATAGGGATTTACACAGGGTTTCTTGTGGCTCTTCAGAATTACATAAACACACAACGCCCATGACTGATTATATAACTGTGCTCAGGCTCAGATCAAAACCTGGAACATATAACAATACTTACCACTCTCTAGTACTGCCATGTTGGAAATGTTGCTTTTGTCCATCTGATGTTCCGAAGCCACTGATGTGAACTCAACATCACCTGCATTTAGGATCCCAGCTAAGGTACTGTAAACGCTCCCGAGCTCCTGATGAAATTATGACATAAAAATGTACCACGGTTGGTTATACCAACAGATAAATAAAATGCATTAAATTAAAAATCCTACAGAAGAGATGCCAGGCATAAATAACATGATTTATTACATGACATCACATCTAATAACATCTAACCCTAACCCTAACCCTATGTTTAAGCATCCCATCCAAGAGGAATGAAACTGCTACATATTTCTGCAAATGTAGCATAGCAGTTAATATCTAGTGACACACTGCCACGTCTGTCTATTCGATTAGGTGGATTCCCTAAAGAGTACAGTGTTCCGTAATGTCAAAGTCATGTCACTCACAGGCCTGTGATTATGCCTGTCTCCCTTGAGAAATCGAAAACTAAACTGACATTACAGAGACAGAGTAAGTTCTCTAAGAAGATTTAGATGTTGGCCTGGTGGTAGTTCTGTGATATAATTCACAACAGTGTTTCCAGAACTAAAGTTTCTCAGTACACCAATTTTTTTTTTAAGGAATATTTATTAGGAAAATAATATACTTCTAAATGTAATGTAATAGTGAAAAATAGTGATGAAAGTGTACTCACTTTAAGAACACTTAAGTGGCTTTTTATTTCATTAATATTATATTATCTGCAAGTACAGGCTATTTTTAAGATTGGAAGTACACTACACATTCAAAAACAATTTAAGGAATAGTTTGAGGAATAGAGCTAAAAACTTGGACATTCAAGGTGTAGATGAGTTTGTTTCTTCATGGGAAAAGATTTGGAGAAATTTAGCATAACATCACTTGCTCGCCAATGGATCCTCTGCAGTGAATGGGTGCCGTCAGAATGAGAGTCCAAACAGCTAATACAATTACTGCTCAGCTTTTGCAGTGAATTCTGTTTCCATGCTAACAGCGACTTCTCAGATTGGTTGATCTCTTGCCAAGATTATGGACCGTGCAGTTCTTCACAAAAATGTGGCTATTAAAATAATTTCTTATTTATAGCTTCTACAGAATCTGTTTTCACTTAAACTCATGTTATTCATGGTGCATCTGCATTGAAAGGTTAAAAATAATTTCTCTATAAAGAAAATTAATTGAGTTACTTCCAGAACCAGACGTTGCGCTCTATTGCGATAGTTTCACGATCTTGGGATATCTGCTATCTTATTTCACTGATAAGGTTTGATGCAGCCGTCCAGACAAAATGGGCACTGGTAATGTATTCTAGCATGCATCATTGATTCTCCTGATGCTAATTGTGAAGACTGATGGCATTAGAGCACTGGGTCACAACTTCTACATCACCCTCCACACAGGCCATCGCCAGCGTTCAGAGCACTGGATCTTTTTTACAAGAACTGAGATTAATCTCAAAATTACACTTTGATTTCGAGATAGTATGTATATGAAAAGCTAATGGCTTATATTCACTGACAAAAAGCATTAATACAATATATTTTAGGTTTTAGTTTTCTTATATATATATATATATATATGTGTGTGTGTACATACAGTGATGTGAAAAAGTGTTGGCCCCCTTCCTGATTTCTTATTTTTTTGCATGTTTGTCCAGAATCTGTTTTCACTTAAACTCATGTTATTCATGGTGCATCTGCATTGAAAGGTTAAAAATAATTTCTCTATAAAGAAAATTAATTGAGTTACTTCCAGAACCAGACGTTGCGCTCTATTGCGATAGTTTCACGATCTTGGGATATCTGCTATCTTATTTCACTGATAAGGTTTGATGCAGCCGTCCAGACAAAATGGGCACTGGTAATGTATTCTAGCATGCATCATTGATTCTCCTGATGCTAATTGTGAAGACTGATGGCATTAGAGCACTGGGTCACAACTTCTACATCACCCTCCACACAGGCCATCGCCAGCGTTCAGAGCACTGGACCTGAATGGACAGGCATGCTATTCTCACGGTCACTGCACCACAGTGTTCTTCTTGTCTATTACACTTCATAATATAGAAATCAAAGGGCATTTAGCCCCTTATCCAAAAGAAACAACATTTGCATTTTAGTATAATGACAGCCAGTGCTATCATCTCCAATTTAAGAACTCTAATTATGTAAAATTAAACGTTCTAAATGACACTTATTAAAAACGTGATTCTACTGTACTTAGAAGAGTTCTTTGCAGCAAAAAAGGTCAATATGGTATTCTTGAACCGTTATTTTAAAGACTGTAAGCACTTTATTGTGATAGGTTTGAGTACCTCTAGTGTGAAGCCGATGACTTTGAAGCACTGCTCCACTGTCTCAAACTGCTCCTTATAGAAGGCATTGCCCACAATGTCAGGCACTAATTTAACATTCTCATTGTGGAGATACCTGGAATTGAGAAAAACAAAGAGTACAAAACAGAAATAAGCATGTCAGATGTGGATCCAGATAAAAACAGCAAGTTGTTATCAGAAGCTCAAGAACTTACTTTGGAGTTTTGCTGTCTGACAGCTTGTAGTGGCCGAGTTTCTTCCTCTCTGCCAGACCGGCATAGATATAATAGAAGATGTGGAAGTTACGTTCCCCTCTGAAAAAAAGAAAGAATAGATTTTAGTATCCAAGCAGCTGAGAAAAAGTGCTGGTGGAAAATGGTGGCAAGTAAACACAATGAAAAGAAAAGCAAATTCTTAATTTTCTTATTTTTAATTTAATTTAATAATTTAAATTAATTTAATGATTTAATATATTGATTTATTTTTACCATAACAATTATTACTGTATGGCATTATAAATTATAACTTATTATAAGAAATATTTTAAACAAATTCATTAATTCATTATATACATAAGTTTGAACAATTAATACAAACGAACATTTCCCATCAAAATAGCGCTGTAAATATATATATATATATATATATATATTTTTTTTTTTAAGATATAAATAAAACACATTATTGGAGTATGATTTGCAAAAAATACTATTTCAGTCTTTCTACATAAAATTTTAATGTTTGATACAATGTGTAACCTGCCATTTCTTTGTACATAATTTCTGAAAATTGAAACAATTGTAACCATTTTTCTTTTCCATTGTGCTTAATTTATTGTTGCTCCAAATTGTCTTTTTTCTTTTTCAACAAATGATTTGTACCCTTCTGGGCTAATCGATAAAACAGGAAAACTATTAAACATCAAAATGTGTTTGGTCATTTCAGTCAGTCCTTATCATTTGATATTTAATTCAGTATTCATGCTGAATTTAGCTGCAGCTTCATGGTTAATATGCAGGGAGATGGTCTCTTACACGGCCTGGTGTATGACCCGGGATTTCTCCAGGAGGTAATCTGAGATCTGAGCTCCCACTACTGTGCCTCCACATGTGAACTTCATCTCCAGATACTTCCCAAAGCGACTGGAGTTATCATTGATCACAGTACAGGCATTTCCAAAGGCCTCCACCAGACTATTGACCAGCAAAATCTTCTCTTGGAGGGTCCGATTGTTTGCCTGAAGAAAAAAAAAAAAGAACTGCTCATGTAGCCATTACTGCAAAATAAAAGTGATCAGGATCGAACACACACTTATTACACAGCTACTTCCCAAAATATATATATATATATAAAAAAAACGACCAATGCCAGACATCACAACTGTGAAATTATTTTATTATGTGAGAAGAATAAAGTATTAAGTGATATGAGAGACATTCTATGAGAAAAACATAACATTAGTCATAACCTAAGATTGAGAACATAAAGCAGCCTCCGAACCTTTCCAAGAACGGTCAGCTGTTGGACTAATAGGTGGGCGCTTTCTGTTTTCCCAGCACCGCTCTCTCCGCTGATGACAATGCACTGCACACAGAAACAAACACAGTTCAGAACATGACTGATATACTCAGAACATGACAAAAAAAATGGTAACATCTAAATATTAAAATATTATTTAATATCACTGAATCAACCTACTGTAAATACATTACTTGATACGACCAAAACTACTTTATATGGGTTAAATCAGGAAGAAATATTTCTTTCAAGTAACACTTGCAGGTTACCACTTTTCCAGCGTACAGTCCAGAAGTTCATAGAGGAACATACTCTACCTGATCAGTATTACAGGAGACCATGGACTGATATGCGATGTCTGCAACTGCATATATATGAGGAGGGTTGGACGTTCTTTTGGCTCCAACGTAAATCTTAGAATGCTGTCACAGAAACAATAGAGTATTAGACAACTGTGTTTGACTAATTTGATAATTCACATTCTATGAAGCAAAAGTGGTGCTTGTCCATACAAAACACACAATCCCCGCTATTCTAGAGTAGGTGGTTGACAGTGCATTCCTATGTGGTTTTTAAGATGTCATAAATGGCATTTGTATGCAGTTGCTTAAAGAGAGAGTTCACCCATTACTCACCCTCAAGTTGTTCCAAACCTGTATGACTTGATTTCTTCTGTTGAACTAGAAAAGAAGATATTTTGAAGAATGTAGGTAACCAAACAGTTGCTGGTCTCCATTGACTTCCATAGTATGGAGGAAAAAATACTATGGAAGTCAATGGGGACACATTCTTCAAAAATGTATTAGTATTCATCAAAATAAAGAAAGTCTGGTTTTGAAACAACTTGAGGGTGAGTGAATGATGACAGAATTGTCATTTTTTGGGTGAACTATCCCTTTAAGTGTTCTGAGCAGATGTCAGTGTACTTCAGTGCGGTGGCTGGGGTGATCTGAGTGGTTGTTGGCACTTTGCTAAGCAGTTTCTAAGGTGCTTTAGCATGTTCTCATGTGGTTGCTAGGGTGCATCTAGCATTGCTATATGGCTGCTTAGATGTTTGAAGTGGTTGTTAGCTCATTGATATTGATATTGCGAAGATGTTCTGAATGGTTGCTGGGGTGTTGCTAAGGAGAAGCTCGGGTGTTCAAGGAGGTTGCCAGGGCATTGCTATGCAGTTGCTACAGTATTCTGAGTGGTTGTAATGGGCTTGCCATTAATGCAAGTTTATGCCAATTGATTTTTTATCTTCTGCAAGGTTAAAATCATAAGCCTGACTGCTTTGAAATCAAAAAGCAAACATCACTAATAAATAAAGTAAGCTGAGAAACCCTTGTGAAAAAGAAGTGTGCTTAATTGTATTGAACACACACTCGCAATGTACCTAAATCTTAAAAGAATATTAGAAAAACTGTACTTACAAATAATATAATATTAATGAAATAAAAGGTCACAAGTTTCTTAAGTACACTTTTAAAAGTGTACTTTGTAATAATTAAACATTTTACTTTAAAGTACTTTTTAAATCATGTTTTAATAATCTTTTGTTGTGCTTTAAATAAGTACACTTGTTTTGATGTGCTGACTAATGTACTAAAGCATATGTCAAGTGCTTGATTATAATTTTACCTGTAATGTGTTCTTTGGATATTACATTTAAAGTTAATATATTTTAAATGTACTAAATTGCAACTTCATCATTGCAATCAGTAAATTTGTCAGTACATTTAACCATATTTTAAAGACAACAGAAGTAATTATGAATATTATTATGAGTCCTACTTAACTGGGTAAAAAAGCACTCTAAAGCTACATGTAATATAGGTTTATAACATACAACATTACAAATAACATGTAATTAGGTTTAAACATTTAATTTGCACTTAAGTATATTCTTTTCATAATAAGTCTCTTTTTTAAGTATCCTAAAGTGTACTTCTTTTTCACAAGGAAATCCAGAGAGAGGAGAACATGTGAATGAAAGAAAAAGGGAAATGAAATATACACTGTTTCTGCAAAAGGTACAATGTCACAAGCCAGATACAGATTGACAGATGAGGAAGAAAGCGAATGAGAGTGGTAGTAAATGGAGTGGAGTAGACTATGAAAGGTTGATGGCATCCATAATGAAATATCCCCCCCACACACACACCTCTGGCGTGTACAGTCATCATTGCAATTGTGTAACTACAAATATATTTAAATACATGACATTCAAGTTTCAATAGAAATTACATTAAAGTGTATATTAGGTTATCATAAATGGTGGTTATCATAAATGGTGGTCAGTAAATTTGTCAGTACATTTAACCATATTTTAAAGACAACAGAAGTAATTATGAATATTATTATAAGTCCTACTTAACTGGGTAAAAAAGCACTCTAAAGCTACATGTAATATAGGTTTATAACATACAACATTACAAATAACATGTAATTAGGTTTAAACATTTAATTTGCACTTAAGTATATTCTTTTCATAATAAGTCTCTTTTTTAAGTATCCTAAAGTGTACTTCTTTTTCACAAGGAAATCCAGAGAGAGGAGAACATGTGAATGAAAGAAAAAGGGAAATGAAATATACACTGTTTCTGCAAAAGGTACAATGTCACAAGCCAGATACAGATTGACAGATGAGGAAGAAAGCGAATGAGAGTGGTAGTAAATGGAGTGGAGTAGACTATGAAAGGTTGATGGCATCCATAATGAAATATCCCCCCCACACACACACCTCTGGCGTGTACAGCTCCGTTTTATGGAATGGATTAACTGCTATAAGGATGTCTCCAACGTAGGTGTAGATCTGCTCCTTTGTATAACGTCTCTGTAGCTGTTCGGTGATTGTGTTCTAACAGAGAGACAATTAAACATCACAGATGGCCATCCCATCAAACCACTGCACACCGATACACAACATAACCATCTAATACCGTGCAGGAGTCTCCATTTTCATGCATGACCAAACCTAGACACGGGGAGATGATTCATTATCTAGACTACTGCATTCATGGATCTTTGCATAGTGATTATTGCACACTATGTACATTTTGCTGCCATATGCGGCCAATATGGCCATACAAGACAGTTACACACATCACAGGTCTCCGTCTGGTGATATCAGTCCAAAGACACAGGCATAATACAAGTGCTTCCTGTCAGCACTGCTACCATAATGGATGAGAAAATATATCTAGTGTCAATGAGACCCCTCTGCATTGATAAATCACCTTAAATGTGTTTCTATACAAACTCTGTTATTGTTCACTAATCTGTCTATTTATTCAGTTGACAGTTAAAATATGAGACTGCTTGGATGAGTTATGGTCACTTGACAGTCTCTCTTAAAAATGCTACTGGAAAATGTAAGAAGTACAAAAAAATTCCAGCTGGAATGAATGGGCTGTCTGGCAGAAAGATGGAAAATTTCCTGAAGACTTTCCTGAGTCTGTGATGATCGAAACCAGCGTGTGTGTGTGTGTGGCCTCACCTCTACAAGTGCACAGTTTAATCTACAAACACAGGGGACATAGTCAGATTCTGATTATGAAAATACACTGTTTATCATTAAACAACAATATTCACAATCACACCAACTGCGACTAAAACATATTAACACTATTGATTAATACTTATTCAGCAAGGATGTGACGGCAAAGACATTTATAATGTTATAAAAAAAACTATATCAAATAAATGCTGGTCTTTTGAACCTTCTCTTCATCAAATAATGTATCATGGTTTCAAAAACAAAACAATAATATTGCCGCACAACTGATTTCAACATTGATAATAAGAATAAATGTTTCCTAAGCATCAAATCAGCATATTAACAGCAGAGGAATAAGTTACATTTCAAAATATATTCAAATGGAAAACTTTTATTTTACTTTATAATAATATGTAGGGTTTTTTTTTTTACCATATTTTTGATCAAATAAATGCAGCCTTGGTGAGCATAAGAGACTTCTCAAATATGACTGACTAACTGAGAAATGCCGACTAACCAACTTTTTTAAATGCTAAAATGTATTATTAAAATAGTTCAAACTAGTTTTACCCATACATAACAAAGCTGAACTAATTTACTCAATATTTGTGTTATGTATTTGTATGCTTGCTAAGACCTTTCACACTAAATAGGAATGTTTTTAGCTTAGCAACATGCTAATGGCAAGCCCTCACATGCTTCTTGTGAGTAACACATGCTGTCTCAAAAGGAAGCTGCCTATGTATGTAGACAGTTGACTGCAAACATGAACAGAGCTTATGGTTGTGATGTTATTGAACAAATGGAAGGTAAAGTAAGAAAGCCCAGCACATTGGTCCAAACCATGTATTTATTTACACATTTAAAAGAGCAACTCCTGAATAAACCCTACATCCTAAGCACTCGTAAGATCGGAAATTACAGAGCTAAGAAAAGCACAAGATATGAGCACATATTCTCAATGATATTGGTAACTAGCTGCCTCACAAGATATTTTGCGAAACACAAGAACACACCATTGGGTACACAATTGAAGCTTTTGGGAAAGTTGCAAGGGAAGTCGCCACAACATAATGTTCAGAGACAGGAAGCTGCTACTGCTACATCCACAGGAAGTAGACTCGATTTAACCCATGTGACTGACCGTACATATATCATACCTGGAATCACTGTCTCTCCTTTCAGTTATTCCAAGATGGCTTAAATGATAAAAATGAAGTTAATATCTTGGAGGCATAGCAGGGGTTGTGATGAGGGGGCCTCTGGTGCAACCATAATGGCCAGTATTGCAGTCAGCAGAGATCCTGTATTTTTTATGAACGTGTTTATGTAAGTTTTAAAATTATAAATAATTCTGATATATCACTAGCTTTCAAGGCTGATTACACAGGACATATTCTTACATTCTGAGTTATTTTAAAATTGTTGTCTGTTTAAACATGCTTTAGATGTACACCGTATGTCGTCAACAGGGCCGTTTCTAGGCATAGGCGAGCTAGGCAGTCGCCTAGGGCGCCACCAGCTAAAGGGGCGCCAATGAGCGCACGTACTGGCACTTTTAGCAGGGTTGTGATAAAGCGTGGCACGGTCACCCTGAAATATGACTGCCACCCCCACTGGATCCCCCAACATTATTGGGCTAGAGTACTGTCAATCTGACGATGCCTGTATGCCACTAGATCAGAGTGCTGTCAATTGCTGCCTGATTGTTGCATGCAAAGTTTGCATCTGGAGCGATCAACAACGCCATTAGATCAGTGGGCTCTGATATATAGGGACAATAGGGATTTCGCCTAGGGTGTCAAATTGGCTAGAAACGGCCCTGGTCGTCAATTATAGTATATTAATATATAGCAATTAATTACCCTAATATGGGGGGAGGGCATACATCGCTGCTTATCACACGCTGCACCCCACACAAACAGCGGGTGTCAGACGCTTACATGCAAAAGTATAATATGTCAACATTACGTTTTAATAAAATAGAAATAATATTTGGTATCATAAAGGTATCATCAAGAGTATAAATTGTGCTTACTAGGCACTAAAAATGGAAAATTTGTATTTTACAAGTCGGTCCAGCTACGGCTCAAGCATGTTCTAGAGTAAACAAACAATCTCTTATTAATGCAAGATGGGACTTTCAAATATTCTGCCATCATAATGAGCATTTTTGATGCACTTCTACATAATAATGCATCAGTTCTTTTAAATGTAAGGCAGAACAGCAGCCGCCACATCGAGTGTTAAGGTTTCCTCCCTTTGTGTGAATGGACTGTTTCTCTTGATACAATCTCTGGTAGAGTTCGGCCAGTCATTCCGTGTGAAAAAGAAGTACACTTTAGCATAGTTTTAAAAAGAGTATTAATTGCGGAAATTATATACTTTAAAATAACATACTTAATTATGAACTGAATGTAATGTTTTCAGACTAATGACTGTTAACTGAAATTCAAATAAAAATGTCTTACAGTTTAAATTTATATTAAAAGCAATGAGCTGCACGTTCTTTTTGACACACTTAAGTAGGACATACCATATAATTCAATCTTTACATGTGATTTTATAATTACTTCTATTGCCTTTGAAATGCGGTTAAAATATACTGCTGAATGCACTGACAAGCATTTATGTTAATCTAAAATACTGTAAATTCATTTCTATTGAAACTCATATGTCACATATTTAAATATTTTTAATTACACATTTGTAGTAACGAAGCTGTGACTTAGTATAATTAAAATATAATAACTTTAAATGTAATATTGAACGCACTACAGTTAAAATTAGAATCAAGTACTTTACATGTGCTTTAGAATGTTAGTTAAGTGTACTTCTTTTTAAAACGTTTATTAAAACAAGGAGTTCAAATGAATTTTAAAGTAAAACTTTTAATTTGACATTATTACAAAACGCACTTTTTAAAAGTATACTTAAGTGTGTTAAGAAAGTGTACTCTCATTAAATACACTTACTTAGTAATTTCATTAATATATCTAATGTTTTGAGTACAGTTTTTAAAAAAATATACTTTTACAACACTTTAATAAAACTAAGTGCACTTCTTTTTCACAAGAATATGTAGAATGATGCTTGTTCTATGTCACTTGTGTGGCTGGAGGATTCATCTCATTCTTAAGCGTGAAAAATTTTATTGAAAAAAGTGCCCTTTAAATTGTAAAAGTTAGAAACAGTCCAAACTAAAACTTGTGGCATTTTAAACACTTTGTTTGTGTCACGTTAAACACATTGTATGACTCACAGAAAGCACTAGAGCTGATATTTGAGTCTAACTACCTTGTTTTCTCGATAACGCCCATTTGTTGGTTGAGGTCGATTAGCTCCATCAGCTGCTTCTGCAGCGTCTTCTCTCGCCCCACAATCTGTTTGATGAAGACATGCTGAAGAAGGTCAAACACATTGGGCCTGAGCTCAAAATCCTTTATCAGACACCTGAAGGGGACACAATCAAAAAATGGGAGAATCTGTGTTGAAATGTCCAAGATGAAGTCAAATCAAATGGCAACTGATAAGGACAAGATTCAGGAAAAACACAAACAAGCTAAAGGTTGTTGAGATTAATTCAGTTACGGTTACAAACAAAGTTCTGGTAAAACAGCAGGAGGATAATTAGAGTATGACGAGGCATTATGAGACACTCAGACACGGCTCTTTATGAGAGTTACTAACCCACAAAATCAGTGTTGAAAAGAAAAACTAACAAAACTTCAACAACCAACAAACTTTGGATTTGCCAATGCCGTACATATAAATACAAATACATTTAACCTGTGTTACTTACTTGCATATAAAATCATTAAAATCGTTTGACCAGAGCTCTGGTTGGTGTAGGGTGGGTGGAGGATTTCTGTTCAGAGAAAAACAGATAGATATGCAAAGATAAGTGTGAGAGAGAAACGAGGAGAGGGAATTGATCCCATTAACTTTAAAGGGAAAAGACACTTCTCACTTGATAAGATTATTAGATTACTGCCTAAAATTGTCTGTTAGTTAGGTGAATAGATAAACCATTTCAATTGTCCTTATAAGTACGGACCATAATAATCATACTCAAAGAAAAATGTATATATACCAAAACGCATGCATGTGCCATAAACTTCAGTAAGGTAAAAATAGTGAAATTTTTCCGTTGTCTCCCTTGTGTTTTTATTTGAGGTTGAAGTTGCATGAGTCAAAGTGAATTTTTTTTAGTAAATTTGTGCTGATGTGAAAAAGCTTTGTCTATGAAGGCTGCCAGAAAGCTTTTCCCTGTACATGTAGATAAGTAAGCAGATAGACACTTAATGGTGTCAACAGAGGACCTGACAAGCGTTCCCTGCTGTGGAACAATAGAGCTAATTAGCCGTCATTTGATGTCCTGGTGAAGGGGGCTATTAGCAGAGGGAGAGTAGGGTTGAGGAAGTGTACTCCAGCCCAACGGCTAGCACGTCAGGAGCGCACTCTGTGCCTCTGACAGCGATTAATTACCCTAATGGGGGGGGCATACATCTCTGCTTATCACACGCTGCACCGCACACAAACAGCGGGTGTCAGACTGGAGAAACACTTGGACTATTAAAGTGCATCCTTATCGGAAACGCAGCAGCAAAAAATAAAAGATTACAGATGAAAACAACAAAGCCTTCTGCAATTTAAAGGCTGCAAATTCAAATCTGACTAATGTCATCCTGAAACTTGAGAGTGATTTAGCAAGAAAAATAAAAAATAAAAATCTAGATTTAGTACTAAAAAGACCCAATTCTGCCAGATTTTGCAATAAAATAATGATAAAAAATAAATAAAAATGTAAAATATTTTAAAAAAATAAATAAAATGTCAGTAAAACATTAACATTCAAAATCTGAAATTTCACAGTTTATACATTTATAGTTTTTTTAGTTATATATATATTTTTATAAATAAATACATATATACATTTTAATATTAATATTGAACTTAAATATACACTAATGCTCAAAAGTTCAGGGCTAGATTTGACCCTGAAATTCTTTTATTCAGCAAGGATGCGTTAAAAATGATCAAAAGTGACAATAAAAAAATACATTTATAATGTTACAAAATATTTTTGTTTCTGTTTTTGTTTCTGTTCATCAAAGAATAAAATGCTAAAATGTTAAATGTTAAAATATATTTTAAAATATATTAAAATACAAAACAGTTATTTTAAATTGTTTTAAAAATATTACTATTTTAAAAGTATTTTTGATCAAATAAATGCATCTTTGGTGAGACTTTCAAAAAAACAATAAAAATCTTACCAACCCCACACTTTTGAATAGTAGTGTAGATGTAGATATAAAAATATAAAAAAATCTTGAGTGAAATATTTTGAGGACATACAGATTTGAGATTATAATGGCTGTGTTCCAGTTTTGTCACACTGCATTGCTCATTCTCAGTCTGGATGGGTGTGTGTGAAGCATACATTTTTCAATGTATGCTTCAGACACGGGTCACGACGAGGCGTTCCCCATAGCGACCCCTAGAGGACGCAGTGTCTCGTTCCCTACTCAGGGAACCATGGTTACATAAGTAACCTGAGACGTTTCTTTGGTGAGACTTTGAAAAACATTTTTAATAATAGTGTAGATCTAAATATAAAAATGCATTTCAAAATAAATCGTCAGTGAAATATTTTGAGAACATTCAGATTTGAGATTCTAATGGCTGCGTTCCAGTTTTGTCACAATGCATTGCCTATTCTCAGTCTGGATGGGTATGGGGGGTTTAAGGTGTGTTTTTCTAATAAGAAGGAAAGAGAACATGAGAGAGACCCAACAAAGACAGCCTGCAGTGTGTACATGAGCAGTCAGAAACATAACCACACCGCTCTGTGATTATACCCACCACCCCCACCACTGACTGCAGTCAGAACGCCACTGCTCTGATAGCACAGCGCTCAATGGACGGATGCTGTGTGTGTGTGTGTGTGTGAGAGGTGTATTAGAACACAAAAGTGCTGCACCATCAAGATGACACTGGTGATAACAGTTTCTCTTCTGAGCCCGAAAACAGAAAACAATCAAATTTCACCTTCAGACAGGTAGGTGCACGATGGAAAGAAAAATCGCTTGGTCTCTTTCTTGTATCCACAAGGATGCAGGGGTTGGACAAAGTAATATGAATGCTTGGAAAATAGATAATATTTCTTTATAAAGGTAATTTTCCACAATTTGCCTTTAATTTGGTGGTCCACTTAAGGCGTTTTGTTGATTATAAGTAACTTAACTCTCATTACAGTATTAGTAGACTGTTAGGTTATGGTAAGGGCTTGTAGATTAAGTTGACATGTACGGTACTTGCATAGTTACTTATAGTCAGTAGAATGTCTGTTGGGGACCATCAAAATAAAAGACGCTTTTCCAGTGTCGGGCCAAACCCTTCTTATTGCTTAACCGTTCCATTCTGGCCCAGGTGGCAAGTTTATGGTTTTGTTTCCACTGTATGGTTGATAACAGAGCCTATAATACAAATGCATAACCCGTTGCCTTGGTAACACAAGTGTTTACATACGGTATAAGATGTCAATAGCGATGACGTTATGGAAGATGATCAGATGTTTCCGTTTAGTTTACTCAAATAGCGTGTTTGGCCTTCTACAGAGAGAAACTAGTAGCCATACAACAAACAAGTGACCAATCCTGAGTGGCGAACTGGCGATGTCCCTACATGCATTCTGCAGGCACAGACCTAAATGGTAATTGCACCAAAGTCCCTTTAAGACAAGTCATTTCACTCGGTGGCCATCTTTGAAATGCCTCTCGGGCATGCAAGTGTAGCTCCTATCTCTTTAAATAGGGAAACATCAAATTCTCCAAAACTGTTAGTGTCTCGTTCCCTACTCAGGGAACCATGGTTACATAAGTAACCTGAGACGTTTTGTTTTCCACTGTATGGTTGATAACAGAGCCTATAATACAAATGCATCACCCATTGCCTTGGTAACACAAGTGTTTACATACGGTATAAGATGTCAATAGCGATGACGTTATGGAGGATGATCAGATGATTCTGTTTAGTTTGCTCAAATAGCGTGTTTGGCCTTCTACAGAGAGAAACTAGTAGCCATACAACAAACAAGTGACCAATCCTGAGTGGCGAACTGGCGATGTCCCTACATGCATTCTGCCGGCACAGACCTAAATGGTAATTGCACCAAAGTCCCTTTAAGACAAGTCATTTCACTCGGTGGCCATCTTTGAAATGCCTCTCGGGCATGCAAGTGCAGCTCCTATCTCTTTGAATGGGGAAACATCAAATTCTCCAAAACTGTTCGCTAAGCTTACGATTAAATTTCATATTTGAAATCACCAATGAAATCTGACAACAACTGCCTCATGAATGTTGTTTCTTTTGCTCAGATAGCGTTAAAAAAGCTTATTTTTCAGGATAGACCAGCCAGTGTGCATGGGCAGTCCTAAGTGTGCGTCTCAGAACTCTGAATGCTTCTATAGCAACCGTGACTTCTAACGGCAGCTGCAGTGACGCGATGACTTTACAAATTAGTGATTGTCTCTTTTACTCAGAAGGCGGGGCTTCGTTCGATAGAGCGGCCATATTGAGCACTGCATTTTTCCCAATTCAAAACTATACGAGTGACATGTCTTGGGTATTCTATAGTATTTGATTGTACCAAGCTAAAATGGAAAAATAACTGGAACTGCTCCTTACCATTCTTAAAGTCCCCATGAAATCAAAATTAAAGTTATTTTGGGCGTTAGTATCAATATGTTAGTCTTAAGGTTATCTATAAGGCAGTGTGCTCCAAAACAGTGACAAAATTCGCATTTAGAAGATATAAGCATTCAATGCTTGCAGTTCGTCACTTCCGCCAAAACGATTTTTTTGACGTCACATCGTACTTCATCTTCTCATCAAATCTTCTGACCAATCAAATGCTCTCTAGAATCCGAAACGCCCGCCCCCTACACTATAAAATAGACGCTGAAGCCGCGGCTGAAATCGGTCACTTGTCCACAGAATTAGTATTTTCTGTACAGTGAATGGCACGTAGTGCACTATATAGTGGACAGGGAACGATTCAAACAGTGTAAATATGCGAGTCGGCGCAGACCACAAAATGTATCGGAGCTATTTGAATTCTACACAGAATGCTATATTTTATAGCAA